ACGTGCACCATGGACATGGGCGGTGCCGAGCGCGTCAGGTCCAGGTATGCGGCCGGCGTCGCACTCTCGGCCGGCAGCGAGTCTCTGGCCGGNCTCTCGGCCGGCAGCGAGTCTCCGGCCGGTGTTTGCCCGCCCCCGGTCGATGGCGGCTCACCAGCCGCCGCCGCCCCCGCCGCCGCCGCCTCGCGATCTTCCTTCTCCGCCTGTAACTGGCGAACCTGACCATTCGCAGCGTCCAAGCTCGCTTTCATTGCCGCCAGCGCTTCGCGCATTTCGGCCATGTCAGCGGCGCTCGCCCCGCTGCTGCGTAACGGCGCCGCCGATCGCGTCCGACCCCGAGTCGGCGTTCGTCGTGCCGTAACACTGGTGGATCTAGGAGCAACGCGCCCCCGACCCCGCCCCGCCGGCGTCCCACCAGACCTAGACCTGGTCNTTGGCCCGAGCGTTCTGTACGTGCACCATGGACATGGGCGGTGCCGAGCGCGTCAGGTCCAGGTATGCGGCCGGCGTCGCACTCTCGGCCGGCAGCGAGTCTCCGGCCGGTGTTTGCCCGCCCCCGGTCGATGGCGGCTCACCAGCCGCCGCCGCCCCCGCCGCCGCCGCCTCGCGATCTTCCTTCTCCGCCTGTAACTGGCGAACCTGACCATTCGCAGCGTCCAAGCTCGCTTTCATTGCCGCCAGCGCTTCGCGCATTTCGGCCATGTCAGCGGCGCTCGCCCCGCTGCTGCGTAACGGCGCCGCCGATCGCGTCCGACCCCGAGTCGGCGTTCGTCGTGCCGTAACACTGGTGGATCTAGGAGCAACCAAGGNTCTGGCCAATCCTTGCTATCCCTCTCTGAGTTCACGTACTGCTGTTGTATAAATCTGCTATTCCACGCTGTCCAGCGAGCCTTCTCCTGCACGTGAACTCTCCGATAAAGTGACCATCCCAAAAGGACTCTTCTCAACCTGATACCCCGAAATACAGGAACAATAACGCCTCTGGCAAATTCGACCGTTTCAATAAACAGTAGTCTACATCGGCTATATCTGCCTCACCAAACTTGCTATTGTGGCTCGGGATTCACTCGCGATGGTACCTACATAGCGGCCGGCCCGCTGTGGTTTGGATAAGTCGTCGCAACCGTTGACTTCGGTCCCGATTCGAGTGCGGAACCGATAAAGATTGTGTAACACTTGCAGTTTTTCGCATGCCTTTGTGATCACTTCGATGCGTGCATTCCTTCACATGTTTGGGTGATATGGATATTTCGCTGAAATTGGCGTCATTTTGCGCTCCTGGTTCTCAGGCGAATCCTGCGTCTCCTGTATTTCGGCCAAGTAGGTCTCCTGTTATGTTATCATGAGGATTGGTTCTGTTACGTTGTCCTCGCCCTTTCGGGTTGTCACGGCAACTGGCCTTTCTTTGTCAATTAGCCTTGTACAACCCTCACTCTTTGTGTGCGTTAGCCGTGTCGTAAGAATCAGTTGCGTTCGGGAGTATATGGTCCCACCCAGCCTGATTCCGACCATTGACGTCACCGCTGCCTACTCATGGTGCTGGCACATAGTGAGCATCACGTCGCGCTTATGTAAACAAATGGATATTGGTGCCGACTTCCACCATTCAATTGGTCAAAGGTGCCGAGGTGACATCAACCATTCATTTGCACACGTCTTGCATTTTCGCACGACAGATGAGATTCTCCGTGGGGTAATGGAGAGGTTCGTCGTCCTGGAGGGCCAGTACTCCTTCCCTCGCCTGGCGGTGAGGACGGGATGCATGCCCTTACTTGTGTAGACATATGCACAACCCAAAAATTGTTGAATGTTGTGGCTCGATAGCATCTTTTTCCCAAGTATCAGGTAAGGTGTTCTTCTTTGGACGCTGCCGATGTTCTGCACCACGGGGGACGAGATCACCCTCATGAATATCTGGATTGTTTCCGTAGCCCGTAGGACCGGGCTATGCTTCATCCGGCGGTTTGGTAGTTTTCGTCTGAACTGGTTGTTTTTCAATGTTTGTTTCCCCTCAGCCCCTCGCACCGGTGACCTACGTCATTTGATTTGTTCCCCGATAGCGACTGCCGTGGTGTGGAGCGTGTTGATCTCTTCATCGTCTTTTGTCTTGTGTAAGGTACGCGTTTAGCAGTGCATTGCAAAGGCAAGGGCAGGAGACATAGTGCTTGCCTTGCGCTTGCGCTGCCGACTCGGTAGCGACAGTAGCATTATTTTTCCGGCGCAGTTCAACGCACGCCTCGCTGAAGTTGGCATCTGCAGTGGTTGTGCCTGCGGGGCCGGACCAATTCCCGAAAGTACAGCTGGTAGGCGAGGCAGCACAAGTAAACGCCATCGCGACGTGTGTCTTAACACCCCCGTTCACCAACGGTAGTCCACAGTATTCCGCCCCATCCTGCGCTACTGCTGGTGTCTCTACAAAGTTTACGAACCAGTGTTGCCGTTTTGTTCTATTTAGACGCAGAGGACTTGTAGCAATATCACGAGTCGGGGATGTTGAGACAAGCTTGCCTCTTCCTATCGCCGCGTCATATGTTTCACAGGATAGCTCCAAGGACAAATTGAGTCGAAAGATCGACTTCGTAACCACAGCTATCACAGACATGGAGAAGGAGGTCAAGGGGGAGTTTGAAGCCATGAAGGCCGAGTTGCGTGATGTGAAGGACGTCGTGAAGGGGGGGTTGGATGAAGTGCAGGAGGAGGTGAAGGATGGGCTGGGCATCGTGCAGGGAAGGCTGGACAGCGTGCTCAAGAGGACCCAGGACAGCCTCATGCGCCTCAATAACTTGCAGGCCCCGAACTACCGTTACCCTCGCCTTGTGGTCGTTTCGGAGGTTGGATCTGATGGCGCTTCGTCGAGGGCGCACGGAAAGAGACGCATCCGGAGCAAGGTATTAGATATACTCGTAGCATAGCATGGTGGGTGATATCTTACGTATTCATGTAGTGACGAGTGCGGAGGAACAGGAAGCTTCTTCATATTTTCCTTGGGAGTGTGATGGCATGGTGGAGATTCATGGACATTCGTTAGGTACTTTGAGCGTGATGAGCGTGACCCGTGACTCCATGCCGTGACCGATTGACGAGCTGAAGCACGCCCCCGATGAATTCACAATACGTT